AGTTAAACAAAACCAAACAAATCTGAGGGTCATGGCCTACCAAGTTGATACGTAAAACTAACCATCAGAGACTGTTTTCATACTGAATTTCCACAGTTTGTTTTAGATTCTAGATTTGTCACTGACAAATATTTTCTCTTACTGTGGCTTGTAATCTCATTTAATAGTGCTTTTTGGTGAATATTATCATTTTGAGGTCTTAATTTCTCCATACTTCCATGGATCGTGTGTGTAGTGTTGTATCTAAGAAACTTTTGCTTAGCTAAAGCATATATAAATTTTAGGTTTTTTTTCCTTTGAGACAGGATTACCATATATCACTGAGGTGCTTGAATTCCTGGGCTCTGGTGGTCTCCTGTCATCTCGGGCTCTCAGGTAGCTAGGATGACAGGCACTTGTTGTTTTATCCTTTCTGTTCATTTTTCTTTCTACATCATGCTTGCCAGGCAGGCGCTTATGCTGCTGAGCTATATCCCCAGCCCTTATCCTTTATTTTCCTCTAGTAGATTTCGGTTTTACTCTTAAGCCTGTGATCCATTTTGAGTTAGCTTTTGTATGTGGTGTGTGATAGGAATTGAAGTTCACTGTTGGCATGTGAATTGGATATTCAGTTGTTCAGCACCATTTGCTAAAACCAGTTACTCTTTATAGACTAAATGCATAAGACACACGGAGGATATAAATACAATTAATAATAGAACTTTCATTTTGAATGTTTAGTGTGTGTGGTCTTGGCAGCTGAACCCAGGGCCTCAGCGCTGAGCTGCATTCCCGTCTCGCCCCCTTTTTTTCGTGTGGAGACAGGATCTTGCCCAGGCTAGGCTGAACCTGTGATCTTGCCGTAGCCTCTCAAAGTGCATTTCAGGGATGCACCACCATGCCTGGTTGCAAAAATTAATCTCTTTAGCCATATATCAACTCGGGATTTGGGCCATAACAATAAAGTTAGAAATTAATAATGAAAGTATAAATACACTCAGAATAACCCCTATCATCTTATTCTAAATGGTCAAGAAAGATCTTTTATATAATTTATTTTTCTGAGATGAGGTCTTGCTCTGTAATTCAGGCTGGCCTTGAACTCACTATGTAACCCAGGCTGGCTTCAACTTGCCACAATCCCTCTACCTCAGCTTCCTGCGTGCTGGGATCATAGGCATGTATGTGTCTCCATGCCCAGCTTTAGCAGATACAATTTTAATCCATTGATAATGAAATCTGTCGACTGACTGACTTGTAAATAACAAAAATTTATTTTGTTCAGTAAGTTATGGAGGCTGGGAAATGTAAGATTAAAGTGCTGGTATCTCATGAGGACTGATTTTCTGGTCCATCGATGATGCCTTCTTTCTGTGACTATCTGTGGAAGAATGAGCTAGTTTTGTGATCTTTTTTATAAGGTCACTACTCCCAGTCATGAGAGCGCCACCTAATGGCAGACAAAGACTTGTCATCTCATAGCTGATGTGGGTCTGTGATGCCATCCTGTCAAGCTGCCTCTCTTTGGAAAATGAGAGAGAAGGCTTGTTTTTGCTGAGACAGGGTCTTGCTGTTAGTTCAGGCTGGCCTTGAAGTCATGGCGATCTTTCTGCCTCAGCCTCCCTTATAAGCATGTGCTCCCACATCCAGCTTGATTTTGTTTTTCAAAAAATTTTCATTTACTTTTTAATTGTTACATAATAGTTGTACATATTTATAGGATATTATTTTGATACACAGTCAAATCAGAGCAATTAGCAAATTTATCACCTCAAACTTGGATCATTTCTGTTTTGAAAATATTCCAGGTCATCTCTTCTAGCTGCTTTGAAATGTACTATTATTACCCTTCTATGATACAGAACCCTAGAACTTTCTCCTCTTGTCTGGCTGTAGTTTTGTACCCACTGTTTTCTTCTTTGCTTTTCTCATAGGGAGATCTTTAAAGAACAAGTGAGTTGGTTTAGTTTTCTTATCCTTCAGTGTAAGCGTCTGGGAAAGAAGCATATAGGCATTACTATAATTGAAGAATAATAATAATCATAACCTGCTAATTTCATCTCTGATAAAAGAAATTATTAGGTAATTATTATTGTCATGGTTTGTAAGAGAAAAGATCCAATATAGGACACATAATTCACAGGACTATTTTTATAGCATTCACTTCAATAGTCAAATACAAAAGAGTATGGGATACGTGTCCATTAAAGACCCAAAGAGTCCAGGTCAGGGCCTGGGTCCCATAGCAGTGTCCTCACAAGTTCAGCTGGAGGCTGAGGGCCCATCATACTGTGTTGTGCAAGGCTGTATCAAGCATCTGTGCTGGGAAGGCCGAAAGGTCATGATGCAAGTTAGAAAGTCTGCACCATTTGATGCAGCATCATGCCAGCAGGCTGAGACCTCTGCACTGGACCCAGGAAGCGATGCTAAAAGTAATGACCAGAGCTCCCCCAAAAGAACCACAGCCACCCTCAGCAACAGCGAGGTCCGGAACTCCTTTGATGATGAGAACAGCCAAGTTCCTATCAGAAAAGTCAAAAGTGACAACCTTCTCCCGGAGAACCTACAGCACGTATTTCTGTCAGTTCTCTTTTCCTGCTGTTGGCATGTGGGCCACACCCGGCACCGTGCTGATTCAGGTCAACGAGGTGTCACAAGGAGACCAGTAGTTAATCCACCACAGCCCACCTCGGATGCACATTTCCTTAAACTAGAGTCTCCAGTCGCAGGCTTGAAAAGTTAGCATGTCTTGTTCTATTCAGATTTACATTACTATTACAGTTATGTGTATGCAATTGTTTTTGCAGTCAATGCTGCACCAAAAGCAAAACATTCAAAGAGTAATCACAGTTCAAGGTTAAAACCATAGTACTTTAACTCACTTACAAACATAGATCTAAAAAGTACATTAAAGCCATATTAAGAAAGCTGTTATAATCACAATCTGTGCTTCCATTAACTTTTAACAGTAGTGCACGGCAACACAAAGAAATGCAGGAATCTCCTGCATTTCAAATACAATCTTCCGTTCAGGTGAAGGTTTCAGTTCACTTTTCCACTGTCCTGTTCTCAACAACCATGTTCTTGTGTCATCCTTGCAATCCACAGCTCCAGCGGAGCCTTCCCTCTGGCCAATGCTTGAAGTGCCCATGCAGGCTCTCCGCTCTTAATTTCCAACACAGAGCTGGCCAGAAGCTCTCGATAATAACCATGCCACGGTCCCAACAGTGGACTACATTGAAATGTTTATGTCACCGAGGAAATGTCTCTAACACAAGCAAAATGAGACCAGCTTCCTGCCAAAGCACAAGCTGTACCACTTGGGATCCGGCAGCCAATGCAGTCCTCAAGAGGAGCCTCCTGAGCCCCATTATAACTGCCAGCATTTCCACCAGTTCTCTGATTTTCCAAGCTCTGACCAGAGTCTCCTATATAGCTTACAGCATACAGGGGCTGTCTCTCCAGCCAGTCTTTCAAAACCTTTCCGAATTAATCTCTAAGCGTCTTACTCCACATGGCCAGGCAACATCACAGCAATGGCTCCTTTCTCCTGGTGCCAGCTTCGGTGTAGTCAGGTGTTTCTAGAGAAACACAACACAAGATATACAAAGGTGTAAGAAATTACAAGATTTGCTTATCATCTAGCCAGAGCTGGATGAGGAAGTGTGCAGAGGGTGTCTGCACAGGGGAGGCTGAAGGGTTCAGTGCAAGGTCTGGAGCTCACTGTTGTGTTCCATGCAAGTTTGTATTAGGAGCCAGTGGGTCTGTGCTGGAAGGTTGGAGGGTCTGAGGGGGGAGCTGAGTCTGTGCTGGAATCCAGGAGGCAATGTCCAAGCTGAAGGCAGAGATGGTTGCTCCACAGACAGAACAGATGCCCATCCATCACATCTTTCTTCTCCTTCCTTTTGTATTTTCCAGGCCATATGTCACCCCAGGGTGGGTCCTCTACATCCAGGGATTCAGCCAGCCACCCTAGGGTGGGCAGGTCCCCTACATCTAAAGTGTAGAACTGCTTTGCTGACTTGGTTAAATTTTTAAAATGCTCAAATTACCATAACCACTATAGTGCTGAAGCTTAGGACTTTTTCCAAATTAGTCTTGAGACAGGGAATAGGTCACATCAGATTGAACATGTCTAGCTTTCTTACCTCTTTCTGAACATTTTTATTTTCTCAACATTTCATTTTATCACTATTTTTTTCAACTTTTTTTGTACTGGGGATTGAACTCATGACCTCGTACTTCTCAGGCAGGCACTTATACTGCTGAGCCAAATCCCTGGCCCACCATTTCATTTTTCAGATTAGGCTATTTCCCTCATCTTCATAAAGTCAGGGTTTTGGTAAAGGAGTGTGTCAAAACGGTTTTCAATCCTCTATTCCTACAGTGCTAGAAAAGTGTTGTAAGTTTTAAAAAAGCAAGCTGCCTCATTGTAGCCCTCAAGATTTTGAAAATTTGAATAATTTTTGGTAAGGTACTTGCCTTATATTGGATAAAGAAGTATGATATATCGTGAATTAAAAGACAAGTGTATCCCACTTTTCAAAAGTTATGGGTGCAAACAAAAAAGTCATTAAATTGAGTGAATGGAAGATTCATTACAGACTGTGCTTTGTTTTGCAGAGCTGTTTTGTTAGATGTGCATTTACTTTTTGCATGGTCCAGTTGGAAGAAACTACCAGAAGGTGTTTATTTTGTCTTCATCACAAGCATTCTTGAAATTGGACCTCATTTTTTTTCAGAAACCGTGACCAGAATTGAAAAAATTGCCATTTTAAAACTATAAAGATGAATTATCTTGTTCAGATACCTGCTTGGCTTCTAATTAATCATGTGACCGGGGGCCAGTAGGTACCTTTTCAGTGGCCCTGTTCTACTGTCTGTAAAGTGCGACTTGGAAGTTAAGGTTTATGAAATATACCGAAGGGGTTTAGATACGTGTGAGAGTGTTGGGGTGGGAGGGAAGTAGGGGGAAGTTAGGGAGAGAGAAACAGAGCGAGGGGTTCAAAATGTTGATTGTGTGGTGCTTTTATGGAATGCAGAAAAATATAGGAGGAGAGGAAGCTCAGAAAAGTTAGTTTGTTTCTGCAGTTAAATGTCAGTTACCCATTTTCCATTCCTGGTCACCTCACAGAAAAGGCGTAGTTTGAATCACAATTTTAGAGGGTTTTTATGGGCTTTTTCTAACTTTTTATCGGTACCGGGGATCGAAATTTATGGGCTTTTTCTGTTGGTATGTTTTTAATTACATCTTGAAAATCAGTGACTGATAATGGTTCATTTAGAATTTTTCTTCTTGATTCAGCTTTGGTAATTCATATGTATCTAGGGATATGTTCATTTATTCTGTGTTTTCCATCTTGGTAGAGGATAGGTTTTTGATGTAGGTATTAATGATCTGAATTTCTGCAACATCTGTTGTGATTTCACCCTTTTCAGTTGTTACTGCATGGATTTGAGTCTTTTTCTTGATAAGTTTGCCTAAGATAAGTTGTGAATATCAATTTTACTTAATCTTTCAAACAATCAGCTCTTCCATTCATTGGTTGTTCATATTGTTATCTTAGTCTTCATTGAATTAATTTCTGCTCTCGTTATGATTCTGTCCCTTCTATGAGCTCTGGGCTTGACTTTTTTTTTTTTTTTAGAAGCTTGAGCTTTGACATTAAGTTGTTTACTTGAGCTCATTCTGTTTTTATGATATGGGAATTCACTGCTATAAATTTCCCTTGTAGGACTGCTTTACTTATGTCCCATAAATCTTGGTATCTTGTATTGGCATTATCACTGACTTGTAGAAGCTGTCTAGTTTCTTCTTTAATTTCTTGTGTGACTCATTGGTTGTTCAGTAGGGTGTCATGTAATTTCCATGTGCTTATGAAGTTCTTGTGGTTTCTTTTTCCATTGACTGCCAGTGTCATTGCATTGTGGTCGGATTCTATACATGGGATACTTCAATTTCTTTTCATTTATTTAAACATGTTCTATAAGGTAGTATGTGTTCTGTTTTGGAGAAAATCTCATGCACACCTGAGAAGAATGTATATTCTGATATGGGGTGGAATGCTCTTTAGACATCTACTTGTTCAAGAGTTTGGTTCATTTCTGATATTTCTTTGTTGACTTTTTTTTGTCTAATTAATGATCTATTTGTGTCAGTGGAATATTGAGGTCTTCCATTACAATGAGATTGGTTGTTTGATTTTTTGTGCCCGTTAATATTTGTTTTGTATAGTTGGGTATACTGGTATTAATGCATATATATTTTAGATATGTTTTCTTGTTGAATTTTTTCCCTTGACAAGTATGTAGTGACCTTGTCTCTTCTGATCAGTCTTGGATTTGAAATCCGGTTTGTGTGCAAATAGAATAGCTAGCCCCCCACTTTTTTTCTGGGTTCCTGTCACTTGGAGTATTGTTTTCCAGTCTTTGACTTTCAGTCTATAAATTTGTTGTTGAATTAAATGTGTTTCTTGTATGCAGCATATTGTTGGATCTTGCTTCTTGATCTGTTATGGCAGTCTGTTTCTTTTGATTGGTGAATTGAGACCATTAACATTGATGGTTATAACTGATATGTATTGACTTAGCCCGATCATGCTATTTTTCTATTTTTGGTTACATTTTTCCCCCTCTGTTCAATTACTTGCCTTGCCTGGTGGATTCATTCTGTTGGTGGCATTGAAGTGTAGTCTTTGTTACCATTTCTTAGTTTGAACTTTAGAACATTTTTGAGTGCTGGTTTGGTGGTCATGAATTTCTTCAGATGTTTTTGTCATATAAGTGTCTTGTTTCTCCATTGATTTTGAAAGATAATCTTACAGAGTACATCAATTTGAATGGGGGGTTGCTTTCTTTTAAGGTTTGAAATACTTCATTCCAAACTCTCCTTGACTTCAGGGTTTGTGTTGAGAAATCTGCTATTTCTGATGATCTTTGTAGGTTATGTGTTTCTTCCTATAACAGCTTTAATGTTATGTTATTGTGTTGAATTTCTAGAATCTTTAACTGTAAACCCTTGCAAGGGGGCAGCCACAGCAAGGCCTTGCTGATAAACAGTTCCAGTGTCAATGGTACCAGGGACTGAACTCACAGCCTTTCATTTGTCAGGCAGGCACTTGTACCACTGAGCTAAATCCCCAACCCTTGAATTTCTAGAATCTTGACTGTTGTATACCTTGGTGTAGAATCTTTTTGATCATGGCTATTTGGAGTTCTATATGTCTTACTTATCAGTATGTCAAATTTTTTTCCTGCTTGGGATGTATTCTGGCTTTACTTCTGTGAGCAGGTTTTTTTTTTTTTTTTTTTTTTTTTTTTAATGTCATTTGCACCATTTCCTGCTTTCTCGTTGTCTCTGGTAAATCTTATGTTATTCTTTGCAGCATCTACCAGCTGTGGGATTGATTTTTCATGGTCCCTTGCTATGCTTAAGAAATCGTTCTTTTCATGATCACTAACTATAATCCTGTCTTCTGTAATCACTAACTGAAATCTTGATTTTCTGTTTTCACACTGACTCATTCTGTTGTGTATAGTTTCAACAGAATTTTAAATTTGTGTTATGGATTCCTTGTCTTTCCTATCTTGGATGTCATGGTTTCCATCATTTTTTGAGTTTTTTTTTTTTTTTTTTTAAATCTGTATCTGCTCTGGAGTTCCTAACTATATCTTTTATTGTGGTTACCATCTTTGTAGTTGTCTGTGAAATTTTTTCTGATTTTATTTTCCCTAGAGCTTCATGCATTTGCTTTGTTTCTTCTGCTTTACCGTTTCAGAGAGGCCAAGTGACTGGCTTTTTAATCGTTCCACCTCATGGCCCCTGGGTTTGCCTTTGGTGAGCAGCAAGTCTGGGCTTACATCTTGACTGAGTATCTTCTCCCATCCAGGTACTCACCAGGCCTGATTCTGCTTGGTCTCTGAGATCAGATGACAGTGAGTGCAATGTGGGTAATATGAGTGTGCAGGGTAATATGACTAGACTGTCTTCTCATTTTCTGTGTTTTAGAAAAGTTTAATTCCTTCGTTGCTTTTTATAAATTGCTATGACAAGTAGCTTTATTATTGGTATTTACAATGCTAAGGAAATGAGCATCTCAGAGATATCTCCTGGGTTTTTGGGTTTTGAGTCTGGTACAAGATTCTACCTGTTCAACTTACTGGGGGTGGGAAGCTGCTGCCTCTTTGTGTGGCTCCTTTTTTTTTTTTTTTTTTTTTTTGTCACTGATGTTCAGTATTGTTTATGACCCCTAGGCCATCTCAATCTTGGCATACCAGGAAGAATAGCTGATTACAACAATTATGTCACCTTGGCTAATGTAGTACAATCGACAATAACAATACCTCAAACACAGTATAGAAAATGACAAAGTATGGTAACTATTTGCCACCTTTTTAACCATATTTGTGGTTATCTAACAAAATCTATATCAAACCAGGAAATTTGATACAGTAATTACGCCATCAATATAGCAATTTTACCCTTGGGGTAAAAAGGGCTTAAGAAGAAAAGTAGAGAAATGGAAAAGAGAAAGAGACTAGAAGCAAGATGACAGGACAATGAAAAATGATGTATTTTTTTGAGAACTGGTGAAGAAGACAGGAGGGAAAGAGAAGGAAGAAATTAAAAATTAAATACAAGAATAGAAGAAAACACTAGAAACAGGGTTCACACTCACAGAAAAGTGAGCAAACAAGAAAAAAGAAAACAAAAATAATAAGAAATGATAAAGAAAATAAAAGAAATGTCCATTTCAAGGCTTATCTCTGCTGTCACTGGTAGACCAAATGGGTAGACAGAGTCCAGATCTGTGTTTAATAATGTTTATTAATTCTAGCACGCCTGCTCCTTTAGTTTCCATGAGGTTCAGGGTGGTTTCTGGATTTGATTCTGGAGTCTGCTTTGTTCAGCCGGCAACAGACTGTGTCCTTCCTGCCTGATTGAACCCTGCTCTCAGGGCTGGGGATTTAGCTCAGTGGCATAAGCATCTGCCTGGCAAACTCAAGGTCATGAGTTCGATCCCTGGTACTGCCAAAAAAAGAAAAAGAAGATGAGCCCTGCTCTCCTGTGGCTGGAACTCAGCTGCCTTGCCCTGACGCTAGGAACCACTAGATGGAGCCAGCCTGCAGCCGTTCTGAGCTCGGACCTTCTCCAAGATGGTTATGGCCAATCGCCCCGTCCTGGGTTATACCTGAGCCCAGATGCCTCACCAGCCGCTGCAGTCCACCTTGCCCACTGCTCCGTTCTGTGGTGTGTTCCTGTGTGTAGGCCCCTGGTTTTCCAGGAGTCACTTTTGTAGCTTCTAGGTTCCCCTCCCAAGCAGTGATTTAGGGCACAGGGAGAAAGCCCTGCTTGGCAGGTTGTTCTGTGTTGAAGTCTCTTTGCTCTCCCTGTGGACTTCAATTTTTGCTTCAGATCCTTGCTGGATGCTGGGCACCCACTTCCCTCTTCTTCTTCCTCGCATTGCTATTTTCTAGCATCTGGACACCGTATCTCAGAGATGCTGTGTTCTGCTGCTCATGTTTTTATGTGAGTATGAACACTGTTTCTCTGCCATCTTCTTGGAAGTTCCAGTTTTAGAGGTTTTAGTCTGTGATCAGTGGTTCCTATGCTTTGGGCCTAAGGCAAGGTTGCATTTCATGGTAGGAGTGCACGTTGGAGCAAAGCTGCTCAGTTCATGGCCAGGAAACAAGAGAAGACACCAGGGTCGTGGGATTCTCATTATACCTCCAAACACTTAAAACCTTCCACAAAGCTTCACCTTAACTGTTCCACCATCTCATAATGTCATCTTGGGGGCCAAGTCATTAATGGGAATTTTCAAGATCCAAATTATTGCAACATCTAAGATGAGATAAAGTGTTGGTAGATGGTTATACGGGCTCAGATTTTTGAAGCGTGATCAGGACTGATGATATAAAATCAGGAGCCATCTATACATGAATGGCATTTGAAATCGTGAGGCTAGATGTGCTCACCATGGGAATGTTTATAGTTAGATGCAAAGATTGAGCCTCAAGCCACTCTGACTTTTAGATGACATAGGGTGAGAAGACTAACTAGCAAAGGAAATTAAAATGGTAACTTTTTAAGACAGGAAAATAACCAGGGGAGTATGGGGCTGGAAGCCAGTCTTCTGTGATTAGTGGGATTAAATGGTGCTGTTGGACACATGAAATAAAACATACAGCTGTCGCTGGATTTAGCTGTTTACAGTTTGGAGTAGAGTGATACAAAATGACTGATTACAAGAGAAAATGAAAGAGTGAAACAGGAAAGACAAGCATGGACATTTAAAAAGTCTGCAAAAAAGTTATGCAATGTCTCTGATGTCATAGTTGATACTGATCGAGTACTTGCTGTGTGACTGTCACTGACACAAGTGCTCTGCCACTGAGCCATCGTGCATCGTGTTTCCAGAGCAGGCCTATGCAAGCCAAAAAACCATGAACAGCAATTTTAATGGAAAGGTTTTGATTGTTCCATGACCTTTTAAATTTTTGTGAAGACATTCAGAGATCACTGTTTGTTATATATTTGGAAGTGAAAAAAATAGTATAGCTGTATTTATTGGTACATTTATAATTTGGGACCTTATAAATGTGGGAAATTAAAAGCTATGTGTTTCATTGTAAAAAATAATAAAAATAGTAGGTAGGACTTCCTATCTTGTTATATAACTTATATAGGAGGTGAATATAATTTGTTATATTCCTTTAGATTCCAAAGTTATTCTCTTTCATTGTGATATATTTCTAAGTGTTCTTTTAAATGAGAATTTTGTGCTAGCATTACTTTCTCTGGAGCACCTGCATCCGTTTTGTTCCAACCCCTTGTCTTGTTTTCTCCACAAGTTCACCGTGTCCCTTGAGTGGCACATCTGGAGTCTTTCCGGAGCCAGAATTCTAATGCTCATCACTGTCTTCTGTAATACCTTTTAGGCTCCTCAGTTTGAATTTCAGCTTTAGCAGCATCACCTTTATTTCTTTGCTTTCATCTTTGCAGGTCACTTCTCTCTTTTGACTCCAGTTTTGTAGTGTCACTTGTATTTATCATTCAAAATCAAGGGGACAACACAGTCTCACATTTTGGTGTCTTTATCTGAACTGAATAACACACACAACAGCTAGGCACAAAGATTTGGAAGAAAGTGATGTGATTGGTTACTGATCATAATGTCCATCTGGTACTTCCATAGTGATTCAAGGCCCAAGGAGCTGACAGTGATGTTTGTACTTTATGTACATATATTTAATATATATTTTGAATGAAATTCGAACCTTACTATTGAGAGATTGGTGGTGTTTGAACTATAGTGGTAGCTACAATTTTTACTGTCAAAACTGTGCCAAGAGATGACTATCAATAGGTGCAACTTTAAATTTAAATAAATTACTCACTGAAAGACACATTTAAAAAAATCAGCTTAATATGCACGTATTTACCTATATAATGCTGTAAATAAATTGATTATATACAAAACTTATACAAATAAACTCTTCAGGGGCAACCAGTGGGTATCCATTGCAACATTTCCTCATCTTCTTTGCTCAACTCCACCAAAACTTTCTACCCTATTCAAATTGTAAAATTAAGGTTCTTATATACACTTAGATGTAAACAAAGAGCATACAAGACTTTTAGATAAATATAAAGAACATTCCCATGGGGTAGCTTGTAGGTCTGATGACATGTTACAGCAAAGAACTGCAGGCCACATAAGTGAGAGGCTTAGGAAGATTCATTAACAAAACAAAACAAAACAAAACAAAACAAAACAAAAACCAACTACACATTCAGAAAGGAGTATAGATACTCATAGCATGAGATGTATTATGGTCTTGGAGTAGCAGTTTTTATATGTCCTTTGGGGTTATCGTCAAGATGCACGATCTATGATATATATTCTACCAGTGTATTTGTTTAGTGGGTAAGTTAGAATGGGAGCTGCAGTGGGCTGAGAAGTGAACCAAAAAGCCAGCCCCCTTGTAAGCCAGCTGCAGCCATGTGGGCTGGGAGGAGAACTGAGAAGCCAACCCCCTCCCATGTGCCAGTGGCAGCCATGTGGGCCCAGAGGGGAAGTAAGAAGCCAACCCTGTCCTCTCCTGGGAGGAGAACCAAGAAGCCAAGCCCTTCCTGTGAGCCAGTGTCAGTTGTGGGCCAGGAGGGGAATGAAAAAGCAGAGTCCTTTCTGGGAACCAGCAGCAGCCATGAGGCTGGTAGGAGAACAAAGACGCAAACTCCCTCCATGAGCCAGCTGGCGTGTAGACTGGAAGACAAGAGCCCCCAGTCTGTAAGCCACTGGCTGATTTGGAGGAATGCAGGCTGAGATGATAGCTACTGAAGCAAAAAAACAACTTAATGCTTGTATTGTTTGATTGACTTTGCAGCCCTAAAGCTGGTAGTCTGAGCATCTGTTTAGAGGATAATAATACGCATTATTGCAACTATGGGGCACTTTCCTCTGTCTTGCTTTTGAAATCCAATGTTGTCCTTACTGTTTTGTTTCTGTTTTATTGTTATGTTTTATTCCTTTAAAAAAATGTACAAGCCACATACATGTGTTTGAAATTTAGAGTTTTTACCTACTTAATGAAGTACTATTTCCTTAAGAGTAGAAATCTGTGAAATTTGAGTATCTGCAGCATTAAAGAAGAGGCACAGGCTCATTATACAGGTGAAAAGCCCCAATTTACAGGCTTATCATATCCTTAGACCCTTAGGAATTTTATTTTTGGAGTGAGTTTCCTGGAAGGGAAAAGGGTGTTATGACTTTGATTGTGTCCTAAAGTTGTAGTTTTGACAGTACAATTTAAAAATTATAGTTTTCTTTGTATCTTTCCTACATATCTTTATTTCTTGTATCATACATCAGGATCTAGTTGTAGAAGAATTTATTTAACCAATGGAAGCCAGCTAAAGCTGTTGAGTTACTATGTGAAGGTAAACCTAGACCTACTTTATGACCCTAGCTTTATGCAAAATAGTATCCAAATGTTTATGGACCCTGTTATGGTTTGTGTGTGGATGTCCTCCCAAGCCTCATGTGGTCATAGGTGGGGCTTTTTCAGAGGTGGTTGAATCATGGTGTGTGATTGATTCATGGTGCAATGCTAGGATTCAAGGTGCTTGATGAGTAAATCAGTCCACTGATCGGTTTGGCACCACCCTAATACTGGTACCCTGGATACAATGTAAGGGACTGTGTCTTCTGTCTTGCTTATTTTTCTACCTTCTGTCTGCTGTGAAGTTTCTCTGTGATCCCTGTCTGCCATACCATCTGGTTTGGAGCCAGCCAATTATGGACTAAAACCTCTACAAACTGTGAGCTAAATATGCCTTTTCTTCTTTAACTTTGTGTGTCAGGTATTTTTGTCTTAGCGACGAGAGAGAAGTAACCAAGACAGCTTCAAACTTCATTTGTAGTAGCCAAAAAGTATGAAAAGAACCCAGTGTTCACCAGTGGGCAAATAGATAGTTTTATACCTTACAGTGGAGGGCTTTTCAGCAACACAATGGAATGGATGCATATTCAGTGCTAAGGCTTGGATGTACACACCTCCCAAATGCTCTAGTGTTAAAGGCTTGGTCCCCAGCCTGTAGCACTACTGGGAAATGCTGGAACTTTTAGGAGGTGGGTTCTAGTAGAAGGAAGTTAGAGGCACGTTCTTAAAGGAATGCTGGTCTCTTCTCTCTTTGCTTCTTTGCTGCTGTGAGGTGAACAGGCTTCTTCTGACATTTTATTTTGCCCTAATGTACCTTGCTACTATAAGCTGAAAGCAGCAGGGCCAACCAATCACAGACTCTCAGTTAACCAGAATAATAAGTTTTGGAAAGCTATAATACAGCATGATAACTAAATACGGTGCATATTAGTTGCTAAGAGGTTAAATTTTAAATGTTCTTACCTCTACCACTAATAAGTATGTTAGGTGATGGTCTAGCTTGATGCAGTTATTTCATGATGTATATGTAAATATCAACACATCACAATACTCTGTAAATGTCCAGTTTTATTTGTCACTTACAATATAGAGGAGCAAAACTCCCAACCTACAATATGACCAATATGAGTTTGTGTTCTCTAAAATCAAAGAATGAATTTTAGGAACAATGGAAGTTAAGAACAATATATTTATTGAGAGAATGAAAGCTTCTGTCTGAGAGAGAGACAGAAGGGGTCTCAAGTGGGTTGCAAAGACTCTGTCTTTTCTAGGGACTTTTATAGGTGAGATGGGTCCAAGATGGGGAAAACCTGGGAACTTGCAAGGTGAGTATAAGGTGAGACAGAACTGTTGTAAAACAGTAAGATTAATTGTTCAGGTAAAATTGACGAAATCAGGGACGAATGGGGTATGTGAGTTACTGAGTAGGCATGCTTAAAGAGCAACAGCTCTTCCTGAAGAGGTTTGGGATGGTGACTCCTGGCTTCCTCAAGGTGATCCATACCTATTTAGAATATCAACCCCTGATATTTATACTTAGAATGTGGTTGCATTTGTTTTGCCTTTGTCTTGATATTTGTACCACAGTGAGAGATGTCTATCTCCTTCAAGGTTGCATGGTATGTGGTCTTCTGCCCTGGCTCCCTTGAGGGCCCAGCCCTATTTGACTGCCTATGTTTCTAACTAACTCAGACTTGACCTGTAACACTTATACCTTGATAAAGCTGGGGTGATACGAAAAAAATAAAAAGAATATTGAATAGTAAACTTAAAATCATAGAATATAAAAAAAGTCATAGAAAATTGTGGGAGAAAAACATGTAGTATAAAGATATCGCCTGGGGAGGAAGGAGAGGAATATATTACTGATACATGGAACAACATAGATGAATTTTATTTTTTTTATTTTTTATTTTTGTCTTTTTCCTTTTTATCGGTACCAGGGATGGAACTCACGACTGCCTGCTTGCAAGGCAGGCACTTATGCCGCTGAGCTAAATCTTCAGCCCCCAACATAGATGAATCTTAAAATAATTATGGTGAGTAAAAGAAGCTGAAGGGAGAACACTGTATTCTGTTTACATAAAACTCTAGAAAATGAAAAGCTTAAAAAAAAAAGAGTTCCCTTTGCATTTTGCTTACACTTAAAAAGCAGAAATCCTGTCTCTACAGAGTGCATGATCTGTCGATTTGGTTAAGGACAAGATCCACAATGAACAGAGGGTTTTGCCTGTAAGGATGGGATCGATTTTAACAAAGAGAGGCACCTAGTAGAACAGTTTTTACAAGCCCAGTGTCCCGAGGAAACCTCTAATGTGCCTAAATATTAATGAATGGAACTGAGTTCCTGCCACTTGTACTGGTGTGTTATTTGAAACCCTCTTCCCTCAGTGACTTGGTGACTTTCCCTCTTTCAGAGACAGTTTAAAAGGGTTAGAGGTTTAATTTGGGTCATGATTACAGTCTGTGGGTGACTGACTCCAGGACGCAAATGTCATGCCAGAAGAACATTCCAGAGGCAAAGCCTCTCATGTTTGGCAGGTAGCCTCAAAACATAGAAGGGGGGAGATGGAGAGACAAACCTTACCAGATCATGCCCTCAGTGACCTGTTTTTTTCTGACCAGGCTTCATCTCACTGGAAAACATGCTCAGCTTCTAAACTCAATATAGTGTTCCCATGACCCAATTACCATCAAAAAGCCCTGCATCTCAGCACATGAGGCTTTTGAGAGGGCATTCTTCGCACCCAGAATACCCGAACAGCACCATTTGTAACACGTAACTCATCCTAAATTCACCTGGTAATTAGAGTGGACATTTGTGTTTGATTATTTTTACCAAAAGAATAAAGCATCTCTATCACAGATAGGAAGATACAATTTGGAGCCAAAGATAAGATATCGAAGTTTAACTTTTGCGGAAACTTGGAGATGGAGTACAGTGTTTCTTGATGTCAATGATTCAGAAAGAGTCGTTCCCAGATACTTGAGAAAGGTATTTCTGGGGATCAAAACTGCCAAGATGTTTATATAGCTTTGGAACAGATTCATTTTCACGACTCTCAAAGGAATAGAGAAAGAATTTACATTGCTGTTTCTTAAATGTCCTAAGTAAAAGAAGAGGAATCCTCCTTTCTTACAGTTGGAGAGTTTTTGTCTTAATAAAATATTTGGATTTATCTTTACTGTACTTTTGATCAGAAACTCTTGAAATGTAGTATAACATATTTGATTTTATTGGAGGCTAGAGAAGAGTCTCTAATACATTAGATATAAAGACTAACATTCTCCTTTAGGTCGCTAATAAAGAAACAGAACTGATTGTAATCTATTTCTTTTCTTGGTCTGAGCACTAGATCAACAAATGGCGATGTTTTTAGGTATTGGGGATTAAATTCACAACCTCATGTTTGCTAGGCAGGTGTTTGTTACTGAACTAACCCTTGGCTCCTTTTGTTGTGTTTTGTTTTTAGGTGTGTTTAATGAACCATGCTTTGGAGGAATCTCATTAAATCGAATTCTCTTTTATTTGGAGTGATAATGAATATTAAACAACAGATGTTATGCTCATTGTCCATACCAATAGGAAAAAACGGTAAACAAGACAGACACGCTGCTGAGCCCCCAGAACTGATGTTTGGCATTATGGCTTGTATCTTTAATGTCTCCTCAAAAATTCATATGCTGAAGGCTTGGTCCCCAGCTGATGATGCTATTGAGATGGGGAAGCTTTTAAAGATAGGGGCTGGTTGGAAGATGTCTCTAGGGGTGTATTGTGACCCTTCTTCCCTTTCCTGACTACTCTAGGATAAGAAACTTTGCTCCACCAAATGCTTCCCACCATGACATTTGCCCTGTTTGTCACTGGCCCAAAGTGACAAACTATGAATGGAAACCTCTGAAACTTGGAGCCAAAATACATTTTTCCTCCTGCTAAGTTGTTTGACCTCAGGTGTTTTGTCACAGAGACAGAAAGCTAACAGCGAGGCAGAGAATGAGACTGTGTGTATTACTGGGGATTCAATTAAGAGTCCTCATGCTGAGCTACATCTCTAATCATTTGTATCTCACTAGCCATTTGAGCTTAAATTTCTTCTGTCTTAGCTTCTCTCTGGAATTATAGGCACGTGCCACCATGCCTGGTTGATAAAGTTAAAAGTTGATACTGCCAGTGGGGACCACTGTTTTATGACTAATGTAGAAGCAGAAACTACTCTGTGTGGGACAGCATAGTCCTACAGCCTGGAACACAAGAGATCAGTTATTAAGGGCCCATAAGCCTTATTAAAGGGATTAAAAATTCAGGGTCTTAGGCCTGCTTTGAGAACTTTTGATTCTTTGGGTTTGAAATAGCTCAATAACCAACATTTTACATGTGCTCCAACATGTCCCTTTGGGGTATCCTGGACTACAAAACCTTTGAATTTTTTTTTTTTTTAAATTTTAAAGAGAATCAAACAAAACAATAGAATAAAGCAGATCAGAACAAAACAATGTAAGCAGCACAGGATTTCAAAACAAAACAGGAAATCAACCATGACTACCACAATGTCTCCTGTTCACCCTAAAATAGTTGTCCATATCTTCACACACAAAGAATTCAAACAAAACAAAATAGAATAAAACTGATACAAACAAAAGAATGGAAACATTACTGGCCTTCGAAGTCAGACAACACGAAAATCAACAATGGTTACCTTAGTGTCTCTGTTCAAAGTAGCTGTCCATAGCTTTGCACATATTGAAGTAAAATAATAGAAAACAGGCTAAAATCAATCAAAACAAAGAAAAAGGTGTTACTGGACTTCAAAACAAGATGCCAAAGTCAGCAATGGCTACCATAATGTCTCATTTTCTTCAAAGTAGCTGTTCATACCATTTCATGTAATAAAAGCAATTCTTGTACAGTCTTTTGGAAAAGCTCTAGGCATGTAAAAGCCTGTATATGTAGATCTATCCTTTCTGCATTAGAGGGAAAGACAAAACAAAGCAAAATACAAGGAAAACAGAAACAACAGAGATAAATAACAATAATGAAGAGCCCAAAACAGTAACAATACAGGCTTTTGAAACAAGGTGGTAGGAACATAACTAAGATTGTTATTTTGCATAGTTATCTTCCAAAGAGTTACTCAGGTTACTGGATATAGACATGAAAAATTGATCTAATCCTGTGAATGTTAACTGTTTTGTTCCAAGAACTAATACAATTAGTAGTACAATCATCTTAGCTATCTGAAGTGTATATATTCAAATTTATATCTTTTTTTTTGCCCTTCTTTTTTCCTTTCCCTTCTGAGTTATTTTTTTCATCTTTGAGCAGTTTCTTACCCTTTCATAGTGTTTATTGAAGATTTTGTAAAAGTCAGGGATTGGTGTAACTAGATTTGAGCAGTGGGTTAAAGGGGGGTGGGGATGGTTGTAGGAAAGTTGGACGGCCGCTGGCTAGTGGGTATGTACAGAAGTGACAACTGAAGGCTGGGGACTTAGCTCAGCAGCATAAGCGCCTGCCTTGCAAGCAGGCAGTCGTGAGTTCGATACCTGGTACCGGTAAAAAGGAAAAAGACAAAAAAAAAAAAAAAAAGTGACAACTGTGTTACTAGGTATTTTACAGATATTTAAAGGTAGAACAGGGACTTGAGATTGTTGTGAAATGAGTTGCTGAGGGAGAGGTGGGTACTGTGTGGAGGGAGACGCCCAGGCTTCAGACTTGAGCTAGAAGGTAATATTTATTGAGATAGAGGAACTAGACTACGAAGAGCAGGTAGGGAGAAGGGAAAAGGAAGAGCTGATGGTTTAGACCCAGGGATAACCATGTGGGGATGATAAGTAGGTGAGACACAGTAGTTTGAAGCTCAAGGAGAGGTCTGGACAGGAGACGCGGATGAAATGGGCAGCTGAGAGGGGATAACGGAGTGGGGATGGGTGAGATTGCCCGAAGGAGGCTGTAGATGGAGAAGGCAAAGAACATGGGAGTCAAGCTAGAGCAAAGTGAGAATCTGTCTTAGCAGGTAAAAGAAGAGGAAGAGTCGTGGATGATGAAATGAGTGTCCAAGAGGTAAACTGGACGTGTGGTACTGATTTTAATATTTATGCCAAGTGGTTTCTAGTGATGCTCTGTACTGCACGTTAGTAAAGGCATGCTGTAAACATTTCAGTACAGGTTTTAGTGACACAGAAATACCGTACGTTAACCAAACTTACATTAGGATCTTAAAATATATTTTAAGTTAGAGTAGCCAGTAAAATCACTGAGTCTGTTTTTCCAGATGCACATCTCTAATGTTGGTTATCTTACTGTGGTGTCTGGAGTTTTCAGGGGCCATTTGACGTTGTGAAACCCTGATAGAAAAGGTGATGACAGTGACGGAGTTGTTTGCTGATAACAGTTCTGCTTCTCGGCGTATGTGTTCATCTTTCACTGGAATCGTTTTAGAGTGATGTACAGAAGTCATGTCTTTTCTACTAAGTGTGAATAGTTATGGTACATATTGAAGTACATGGTTTTTTTAGTAACCCAGCTCCATAATTTCAATGATAGGAATATTGATGGAAAAGAAGTGATCTAGTTTTTGGTGAGAAAAGAAAGCACTTATCACCTTGAAATGTGTGGTTATACTAACCACATATCTGCCACGTCTTGGGACCAGTCCTTTGCGTCACACTCAGCCATGCTGTTGTCTGTCATGTGGGTTGTGGGCACGTGATACTGTGTTCTCCTGGTCAAAGGACTTCAGGAATGGTAGCATAGCTTATGCTCTTGGAATTAAAAGGATTAAGGAGGGAAAACTTTCTCTTGTGGTTGCTAAGCTGGATGGAAGTGAGTCTGGTTGATGTGCCTTGACTTTTCCTGATGTATTGCATAGGTTTTTCTAAAAAAGCTGGCCCAAACTGAGAAGGACAGTTTGCAAAATGGAGATTTGACATCATGTAAGAGGTATTCAAACTATGCATATTATTTTATGACTTGTTTATCTTTCACTGAACATTTAGATTGTAAACTTCTATTGCCCTCTAAGTGTTGTCCTTTAGCAGCTGTTCTCCAGTAGAGAAACCTTGCTGGCCACAGTGAACGCAGATGGATACTGAGGCGGGGAGCAGCTAAGGGCTGAGAGACTGAAGATGTTCCTGGGTATCACAGTATTACTTAAGTGTGAGTGAAGGAGACAGCTCTCCAGTGGAGTCAGTTTGGGTCCATTTTATTTTAATGTATACTTTTTAAAGATTATATGATACTTCATTACTGCAGTACACTATCGTTTACTTAACTGATACGTTTTTAAGGAGGATTAAAATTTGTTTCTTGTTTCTTTTTGATACTATAAGTAATAATGCCATAAATATTTAGTACATAATTTCCATGTATTTCAGTTCAGTTTGATAGAATGTATGTCTGAACATGTAATTGTACAGTAATAATATTAACTCATTACTTATTAATATCTTTCTTTAATTTTTATTGTACCATACTTACCAAAATGTGTTTTTTCATTTTACTGAAACATTTTTTTTTTATTTAAGAGGAAAAAGAGAAAAACACAAAACAAAACAAAGCAGTGTAAGGTTACATATAATACAGAACTACAAAAAAAAAACATAACAGTAAGAAATCACCTGTTAATAGATTTCATATTATCATCTTGGAAATAGTTGCTCAAATCACAGTATCAAAGAATACAAAGTAGACATTCAAACAGAGAGACTGCAAACAGCTGTGTTCAATGATCCAAAAACATTAATATAGTCAGCTATTTAACACCCCTATACACACTTGCTGTTATATCCGTTAGAGCTCTTTTTTTTTCCCTTCCTCTCTTTTTACAACAAAATTTACACATTTTAGATTTTATTACTCCTTAGTTCTTGTTACTTTTTGGGGGGGGGAATAAAGTCAAATATGGCAGAACAAAGCTGTCAGTCAAAACCAAGGATAGACTTAGCACATGATGTAGAACAGAGTACACGGTTATTAACAATAGTTATCAACGTTGTCTCTTGTTTCCTTAAAAAGCTTTGTCTATCTCATTAGATATTATAAAGTTGGACAAAACAGTAGAGAACAAGACCAATAAAATTTAGACATTGTAAACATTACAGGACTTCCAAAGGAGACAATAGTCAAACCTGAATGGGCATCTTAGTGAATCTTATTGCCTTCAAAGTAGTTGCCTATACCCTCAGACTTGATACTATCCCACAGAATGGAACAGAGTCTAATCAGTCAAAACAAGATCGTGGGAGTATTACAGGACTTCAAAACAAGTTAATAGGAAATCGAAAAGAGTTACTATTATATATCCTAATTTTTTAAATTTTTCCCTTAATTAAAATAAACATAAGAAATAACTAAATACTTTTTTTAAAGAATAATAGTTACCATAGTGTCTGTCTTTTTCCTTGAGATATTTGGATAAAACTTCTTATACTATAGCTTCAAATATTTCCATATCAAGAAGCCCAGAATAAAGCCTTTCTAATTAATAAGTGAAAATTTTATAAGGCTTCAATGCAGTGAATCCATCTGGGCCTGGGCTCTTCTTGGTGGGTAAGGACTTAATTACATTTTCAATTTCAGTAACAGAGATTGGGTTATTCAACAGTTTTACATCCTCTTGATCTAGCTTTGGCACTTCATATGCTTCTAAGAATCTGTCTATTTCTTCTGTGTTATCAAACTTTTGAGAGTAGAGGTTTTCGAAATAGGTGTTGATGATCTTCTGTATTTCTATTGGGTCTGTAGTGATTTCTCCTTTTTCATTTCTTATTGCATGAATTTGAGCTTTTTCTTCCCTTTTTTAAATAAGGTTGGCTAGGGGCTTATCGATTTTATTTATTCTTTCAAAGAACCAACTCTTTGATTTATTGATTCTTTGGATTGTTTTCTTAGTCTCTATTGCATTGATTTCTGCTCTGATTTTTATAATTTCCTCTCTTCTTTTGGCTTTGGGCTTGACTTGCTCTTCTTTTTCTAGCTGTTTGAGGTGTAGCATCAAGTTATTTATTTGTATTCGTTCTGTTTTCCTGATGTGGGAACTCAGTGCAATAAATTTTCCTCTCAGGACGGCTTTCATTGCATCCCACAGGTTCCGGTAAGTTGTATCTGTATTTTCATTTTCTTTTAGGTATTGTTTGATTTCTTCTTTAATTTCTTCTGTGACCCACTGATTACTCAAGAGTGTGTTATTCAGTTTCCATGTGTTTGTGGGATTTTTGCAGTATCTTTTATCATTAATTTCTAATTTCAGAGCGCTATGATCCGATAACATGCAAGGGATGATTTCAGCTCTTTTGCACTTGTTTAAATATGTTCTGTGAGCTAATATATGGTCTATTTTAGAAAATGATCCATGTACTGCTGAGAAGAATGTGTATTCTGATGTTGTTGGGTGGAACATCCTGTATATGTCTATCAAACCCATTTGTTCACAGGTATGATTCAGTTCTGTTATTTCTTTGCTCATTTTCTGTCTGGTTGATCTGTCCCTTGGTGTCAATGGCGTATTAAGGTCTCCTGTTACAATTGTGTTACTGATAATTTGAGTTTTCATTTCTGTTAATAATTGTTTTATATAACTTGGTGCTCTGGTGTTTGGTGCGTATATATTTAAGATAGTTATCTCTTCCTCTTGGAGTTTTCCCCTTACAAGTATGTAGTGACCTTCTTTGTCCTTTATGGTCATTGTTGGTTTAAAGTTCACGTTGTCTGCAAACAGAATGGCTACTCCTGCCTTTTTTTGGATTCCTGCTGCATGAAGAATTGTTTTCCATCCTTTGACTTTCAGTCTGTGAGTATCCTTCTGGGTTAGATGGGTTTCCTGTAAACAGCATATGGTTGGATTTTGTTTCTTGATCCATTCTGCTAGTCTGTTTCTTTTGATTGGTGCATTGAGACCATTTACATTAATGGTTATTACTGTTAAATGCTGGTTAATTGTAGGAATGTTATCTCTCTGCTGTTGCATCTTTATCTTTCTGTTCTGTTTAATTATTTGCTTTGCTTAGTGGTTTTTTCCTTTGTGTATCTAAACTGTCTTTCAATATTTTTTGCAGGGTCGGTTTGGTGTTCATGAAGTTCTTCAGCTGTTCTTTGTCATGGAAGTATCGTATTGCACCATCTATTTTGAATGATAGTTTTGCAGGATATATCAGTCTTGGTTGGAAATCATTTTGCTTTAGGATCTGGAATATTTCACTCCATGCTCTTCTTGACTTTATCGTTTGTGCTGAGAAGTCTGCTGTGATTCTGATAGGTTTTCCTTTATAAGTGATCTGTCTTTTCTCTCTGACAGCTTTTAATAATCTATTCTTATGTTGGATTTCTGGGATGGTGATTATTATATGTCTGGGTGTAGTTTTATTTTGGTTATGAGTGTTTGGAGTTCTATATGCTTCACTGATCTTGATGTCAGTTTCTGATCTCATGCTTGGGAAATTTTCAGCTATTACTTCTCTAAATATCCTCTTGACATCCTTTATGTTGTCTCCCTCTCTTTCATTAATCCCTATCATTCTTATGTTATTCTTCTTTGCATCGTCTTGCAGTTGTTGAATTGTTGTTTCCTGATTCCTTGTTATTTTCAAAAGATCTTTCCTTTCCTGTTCACTAGCTGCAATCATGTCTTCAAGGTCTGAGATTCTATCTTCACTTTCATTAAGGTGGTTTTTACAACTTTCAGTGGAGTTTTTTATTTCCTGTATATCTCTGTGCATCTGCATTATGTATTCTGTTTGTTTCTTATATTGCTCGTCTAGGGATTCTATCTTTTTGTTTAGTTCCTCCAATTTTTTATCTGTGTTTTCTTTAGATATATTTAGAATCTCTTTCATTTCTTTTATCATTTCTTCTTTTATCTGGGAGATTATTTCGAGTTTGAATTTCTTTAAAGCTTCCTGGAGTTGTTTGTCAACTTCAGTAGCTATTATGTCCGATATATGAGGTGGATGGGATATATTTTCTTCTATATACATTGCTCCTAGGGTTTCCTGAGATGGGCTGGAGGTTTGAGGTTGTAATTTGGTC